ACTATATATAATACTAATCACTAATCTTTTGGAAAATTACGAAAAAAAAAACTTCATTCGATTCGAAAGAATATTACTATTTCAAAATTCGATCTTTTTTATTGAATATATTCTTCAGATAACGAATTCACTGACGATATAACTATTTAATAATTTTCTTTCGCAACAAATTTTACATTTTACAACCGGTTTCACCGTGATCTTTCATTTCTTCAAGACACTTGTGCACATTACGAAGGAACTTGCGAAACTAATCGGACGAATAGTGGCGAGCTTTTGTTATTGACGTGATTGAAGCGCGACGTTATAATTCTCCTTCCTATCTCTCTATCCGTATGAACACATAGACACCGCGATATAATAAAGTGCACAGATGTCAAAGCAAGACACAGCTGTGCTCCGTAGGAAACTCGTATTTATCAGCGGATTGCTAAGATTACGCGGCTCTATTCATCTAATAGGATATCCTTGGGGATCGACTTGAACTGTCCGATCGAAACCAGTATACACGAAGAGAGTATTTGTAAGAAGGTAATAAAAGACAGGATGTATTGTCATCGTTCGTTGAAATGCTTGGAGGATAGCTCGTCTAAGAATAACTTGTCTAAGAAAGAGTCGTCGTTTTCTTTTTGAATTTACAAAAAAAGTTACTCAATATAGAAATTGAACGATATCGAAAGAAACGTGGGATTATAGGATTATCTTTTTTAAACAATCCATTTAACAAATTTTAATTTTAACGAAATCGATATATTTATTTATTTTATATAAATACTTAGAATTTTAGTAAAGAAAATTATTGATTTCAGAAATTCAATTTCGAAAAATTTGGAATGTAAGAAGATTAAAAAAAAAAAAAAGAGGAGTGAATTTTCTATAAATCATCGAGCTCATTGCTTTCATTTTGTTGAAACTATTGCGACTATGCGATATACGCGAATAAAACTGCCAGGGTCGTTTTGATAAATGCGTTGTTTGAATATAATTAAAGAATATTCAATTCAAGAGGAATTGATACTTTCATAACACGGTCGAATTATGTGGAATTAAAATGCGTGGAAGTTTTTCATCGGTATGATTTATTCCTCGGATGCGAAGTTTTGAGTGATTTATAAATATCAGTGATGTTGGCTTTTCAATTTATCGGATCAAGCTTCGTAATTCTGATCCAATTCCAGAAACTAATAAATTTCAACGTATCAAAATGATAACGTGACAATGGCAGTTTCTGCGCGAGAATGAGAAATGGAATGTGATTTACTTTTTTAAATTAAACGATCATTATTTTTTATCTTATTCTTTCTTTTCTTTCATTCCTTTATTATAGATCTACAATATATATTTGACCATGGTCAACGATGGAATACCATTATAAATTTTCTTATAAAATACAAGCGTGTAGAAATTTAACATTTATAAAAAGACAAGATTATTTGATGGATCAAACTTTCCCCCATTTTCATTAATTTTCTTCAATTTCATCGTAATTTATTTCAGTCTTGCAACATAAATTTCCAAGAATGGTAATTAGAGAAAAATTCGTTTAGATCTTTGTTCTTTGCTGTCAAAGATCATATTACATGAAATGAAAGTAGAAAAATTCAGTGACTGATCTACCGTACTTTTTAATCGTAATGAGAATCTTTCATTAAAAAAAAAAAAAAAAAAAAAAAAGTAGAAAATTACGAACAAACGATAATGAGCACGTTATGGTAACGGGCCAGATAATGAGATCTGCTGGCGTAAATCTTCGGTTGCAAGGTCATTTATCTGACGGTAGTATCAAGGATTTAAAGCCTTTGCTATGACATTATGTTCTTGGTAATTTTCTTTCGAGGCATGAGAAAATATGAGAGGCGGATTTCTTGAGTCGAAAGGGGTGGATTTATGTGTAAAAAAGTAAAAAGTATTAAAACTACTATTAAGAAAGTATTTTTTCACTTGGAAAATTTATCAACAATATTTCTATGCTTCTTTTTTTTTTTATTATGCAAATGTAAATTTAAATTTAATAATCGATCAATAATATATATATATATACTTTAAATTTATTAAATTAAAATAATTTATATAATTTCTGAATATTTCATAATATTATTAAGATCTGAGATATTATAATTTTTCAAAATTTTTTATGTTGGATGTTGGATTGTTGAATATCGTCTGGAAAGATGATTAATAAATTTTGTGCAGATATCTTCATTATCTTTCTCCTTTTATCTTTCATTCGCTTTTCCAACCGATTATGAATGCAAATACGTGAGAATTCAAGAGGATGGTGAACGTCGAGGATAACAAGTATTTTCTGCCGTATGATGTAATAGAACATCCCTATTATTCTCGATCTCGTTAAAATTGCATTGGAAATCGTTATATCGACGACAATCTTCTTTGTGATCGTGAAATGTAATTCCTTATCGAAATTGTGAGCCTTTAATCACGCGAAAATATATTTTTTATCGCGTTTTATGTCGCTTGTTTCTTTACCTTTTTTTTTTTTTTTTCTTCCTCTCCCCCCTTCTTTGCCAGAGAAAATTCTTTTATAAACGAAGCATTTATCGGCAGAAGAAATTTAAGAAGTTTTGAATCGAAATACAAAATTTGATCAATTGTCGAGAAACTTTATGCGTTTCATCCATTTGAAAAAGTTACTTTATCTAAGAAAAATCAAGTTGAAATGCCAAATTGCCAAAAGTCAAATAAATTTTAAACAAAAAGGAATAAAGGCGATCTGTGAATCAAAGAGTGTTCGTAAAATCAAATGGAATAGAATACTCTCGCGGATACTCGAAGAAATAAGATCTGCATTTGTGTAAAAGGAAGAGGAAAGGAGAGAGAGAGAGAGAGAGAGAGAGAAGAAAAGAATCACGGCGAAGTGAGTTAGATAAACAAAAGAATTCGTGGAAAAGTTAGGACGGAATCGGGAATTCAGGTATGCACTTCACGTTCTTTCCGATATCGAATCGTGTCGCGGCAACGCAAGTTTCGCCCCTGTCTCGTGGCGCACCCGTCACGGTAGTTCTAAGTTTTCTGAATATTTACAGGCCACGTGTCGCGACACGAAATTGCGTAAACTTTTCAAATAAGCCGGATGATTGTGTAAACCATCCGGGAAACGAGCTACCGACTCGTTTCGTCGCGACGTTAATCAGAAGCTCGTTAAAGATACTTCTTAAGGTGTATCTGACGTGCTTGAGATTAATTTCAGAAACTCTAGTTGGCTGATTAGGGGATCCTGTTATCGAATTTTCTTCCTCTGAATCTTTTATTCCCAGCTTGTTGTTGTTCCGTTGTTGTAATAAATTCGAAAGAGATTGAATTTCTCTAAGACTAACTCTTTTGAAGAGTAGAATGATATATATAGCAACGCGGATTTAGATATTCGCTTTATTCACTTGCGAAGGGAAACGATAAATTTTTAAGTTTAACGAATTGCTTTAATAATCTTATTTATAATATTATTATTTTTTCCTTAACCGCGTAAAAAAAAAAGAAAAAAAGAAAAAAAAAAAGAAAGAATATCGAAATCCCATCTTAAGGAAGCGCGGTATTTTCTTCTTCCTTTTCATAATGAACAGCCAGAAGCAAAACTTAGTTTTCAAAGCTAGAAGGTAAAGATTGAGAGAACTTGCGTTTTTTTTTTTCATGTTCACGAGATCCTTTGATCTTTCGACGTCGCTATTAGAGTTCCGGTTTATCAGCCACGCGCAAATGAGAAACTTCTGATTCTGTGAAATATTCAGAGAACGCGTACCACCAGAGTTGTCCCTCTCCGTGAAATATTATTTGTCGGGATGAAATTATTTTTAAAAATGACATTTCGTACAAGATTGTTTCTATGGTTAAATCACAGAAACGGGGGAGGGTAATGCATTATTTTTATTATCGATAAAATAGATATTATAGCATCGCGAGGAGGTATGCAAATCTCGATTGAATTCATCAATGACACGATTGGATATTATGTTACATTTCAGCATGTTCCGTCATATTTGATTTCTGATACGAAAGCTATCGGATTGACGAGGAGATCTCGTCAATAATAATCAACACGTTATTATAACGGTTATTAATTTTGGTATTTGCGTTGCTGTTAAAATCGTGTTAAATTATTAATATCAGAAATGACAGAGAAATACAGTGAAACGTGATAAAATAGACTACGAGTGTTTCAGTTTACTTAACACGTTCTAGAATTCTTTTCCTTTTTTTTTTTTTTTATCTTTGATCCCGAATGAACGAACAAACGAAGATAAAAATTTCGATATGATACTTCAAATTCAAGATCGATATCAGACAAGTTTATCGATTAAAAGTTCGCTAATATTTCTGCTTAATACGCCCGACGAAAGACACAAAGAAAAAAATTCGCTGAAATTTCGTTTCATTTCGCGTTACAGCGATAGTAATCCCAGTAGAAAATTTTAAATCGAGCTTTGATTAAATTGTTCGGCATATATGCACGCTCGCGATTCTCGATTATCTTATTCCCGGAAAAAGGGGAAGGAGGCGTAAAAAAATATCAACGCTAGTTCCCTATACGAATTTCGTTGCAAGTTGTGCAAACAATCACCGACAATGAACCTTCCTTCCTCTCTGCCTATTTTTCTATCTATTTTTTTTTTTCTTCGTAAGAAAGAAAGAATTCGCTGTACTGTTTAGAAAATCAACCTCGCCGCTCGTGTTTCACGAGAGACGAGGTAAAGAGAAAGAAAGAGAGAGAAAGAGAGAGAAAGGGAGAGAGAAAGAGAGAGAAAGGGAGAGAGAAGTAAAACTCAGGGCGAGTAAACAGGAATACGAATACCTGGCTGGATATCGAGTAGAAGGAAAACTTTGAAATTTATCGACTTAATCGTTTCAGGGTAGGAAAACCGTCGGGGTGAAAACGGGCCAGGCCGCGAACTTACCCCGAACAAATTTGAACCGGTTGTTTTCCAACCGGTCATTGGACGAGGGCAACACAACCTTAACGTATAAATGTAAATGTGAGGAACGCTTACCCTTAATTTAGATAGGAGCGAGAAATCCGTGACCGCCTTGAGCGTCACTTTGCCAAGGAAATGTTCTGCAACAGAGACAAAAGGGAGGAGGTTAATCGTTAAATATATAATCGACGAATAAATTGAAATAAATTAATATAAACATTATTTTTCATCGTGTTATTTCGTGTTACATTATACTCTTTTAATGCATCCAATTAGAAAAGATTACAGATTAAACGTTACATTATAAGAAAGTTTCTTGCATTTTAATCCAACTTTTATGTAATAATATGATTAATGGAAGAGAACACTTTCGTTTAATCATCGTTTAATCTTTTTCTTTTTTTTATACGATAAAATTAATATTCTTACATACTTTTTTTTTTTTTATTAAAATATCCTATGAAAAACTTTAAATTACAAATTCGAATACTCGAATATAAATTGTTAGAAAAATATTAATTCAACCTGTTTCATTAAGAAATTCTATATTTAATAATTTTGGCATTTTTATAAAACATAAAAAATATTAATTCGAGCTACTTTTTTTTTTTTAAGAAATCCCATCCACTCCGATAAGAATCCAAGGAACATCGCACGCTCCATTGCCTCGAAGAATAACGGAATAACTCATCGACTTCTCCCTTTCCCAAATTACAACCTGCGAAGAGAACAATCTCCTCCAATAATCCACCGAATCCGCAACCGCTCCCAATACAAGCGTAACATCTAATTTAATCCTGGAGAAGTAGCAACCCTCCCCGACGAAAGAAGATAAGCAAACACGAGTCGAGTCCCCCTTTGCCCGGGACAAGAATTTTTAGCTTAGATTCGCGTAAATAATTCATCGAGGACGAAGAGGATTTCCGGTGGCGGTTCGCGGATTCCATCCCACTAGACAAACGCGCCCCACGTGGACAAAAGGGAAGCGATTTTTCCTCCCCCTCCGATTAGAAAGAGTGGGAACACAGAGTGGAAGGGACGATACCGTGTCGCGCGGCTCGACAAACAATGAAACAAAAAACTTTCTATTAATGGTAACAAAGGGAGGCCAGCCGCAGAAATCTATTCACGAGTTATGCGCCGAATAAGCCGCTTTTCGAGATGACCGCTTTCAATTTAACGTTAGCGCGTCGAATATTCGCGGAAACCGCGACATAACATTCGATTCTCTCTCTCACTCTCTGTCTCTATTCCGGTAAACGGAAAAGTTTGCGTATCGATATGTGTTATGTGGCCGATGCGTGTCCACTGTATCGAGTTGGAATCGAGGAGGCGCGATCGTCGATAAATTTTCCGCGAGTGTGGCTCGCCGTGGAACGCCGCTGAAAATCGATGACACGTCGGCTCGGTATATTCGGTGTATTCGCTCGATATAAAGATGGGGACGTGGTAAAGCGGGGGATCGTTTGTCTTGAGAATTGGAACGGAACCACGACAGGCATCGAGAAACTTCAGGTAAACGGAACTGTGCCATCCTTGGCGTGGCACGAAGAAGAAGAAGAAGAAGAAGAAGGAGGAGGAGAAGAAGAAGATAAGAAAATCGAGGCCCATTGGAGAGTTCTTTTTTCTTACCTTGAAGTTGGGGGAAGATTTATTTGGGATGGCCAGGTTAGCCAGTTCTACCACAGATTAATAGGGATAAATCTTGGGGATCTGGATTTTCAGATTTTACATGTTGCGTTCTCGTTTGTGTTGTGCGGGATGAAGGAACGAGTATTCGGTAATAAATAAGGCGTTCGTTTTTATTTTCTTTGCAAAATATTTAAAATTTGAGAAATGCAATCGATATAGAGAAATTTCAAATGAATATAGGATAAGTAATTAGCTCAAAATGTTAAATTTTTAATATGAAATTAGCAATGTTAATATCCTTGAAATGATGGAATTAAAAAATGAAACAAATTAAATAGATTATAGAAAATTAACAAGTTAACGAGGAGACAACAAAAGGTAAAAAAGGAGAGTTTATAAGGATTAAAGGTAGAACAATAGAGGACTGCTATCTTTTATCTTAATACGGCTAGAGTGAATTTTAAACACGTTATATTATAAGAAACTTCTTGCATTTTAATCCACCTTTTATGTAATAATATGATTAATGGAAGAGAACACTTTCATTTATGTGCTTTAATAACTTTTTCCTTTTTCATACGATAAAATTAATATTTTTATATGCTTTTTTTTTTAATTAAAATATCCTATGAAATTACTACTTTAAATAAAAATTACATATTCAAACATTCAACAAAAATGTAAAATTAATATTAAATGTACATATAAAGAAAAAAGTTATAAAATATTTTTAGATAAATTCCTTTGAGAGATTATATTTCGAATAATTATAACATAAAATATTATAACAGAAAGCAACAGAGAGGATAACTCTTTTCGATAATATCTACAAAATTTCCGAAATATTTAATACTAATTAGCCGGTCTAACAAACGTGTTCGTTTTATCTACCGAATTACATAGAAACTCTCTGATCGAATTACATAGAAATTAACATTCGTTCGAACGCTTTTCCAATTATGATAAATTCAATTTCATTCTACGAAAAAAATGAAACGAAAATTTGTCACTTTTGTATTCTACATTTTAATACGTAAAAAAAAAAAAAAAGTAGCATCAATTCCATTGAATTCCAATTCAATCTCTAAAATTTATCATCACCGATTCCCATCAGAAATGAACTCAGAAATTATCGTCAAGACTTGGAACCGTTAAATTACAACCACTTCAACTTCCACAACCGATAATCCACCAGAATCCGTACAATAGTACGACATGCAATAGGAGAGTCGCGGATATTGTCCAAAGTCATAACAAAGTGCTTCCACTTTCGCAGCCGTATTAATTGAATGCGCTATCACGAATACCATCTGAGAATTATCGATCGAGCCTGATTGGACGTGAGCTGGCAAGGACTCGAGGTCTTTCAAGGATCCTCACCCCCTCTTATAATCAACTGTTTTCAAGGAATGGAAAAAGCATTCGTTTATATGGCAAAATCAAAAGGGGAGCGAGGAGACAAATTTTACGAGAGTAATCTAAACCCAAGTTCCAGAGGCACGCAGATCTATACCGAAAATGTTTAATATTCTAAAGACGTACGGTGGTGCATAGTTTACGTTTCCCTCACGGACGCTTGAATTACTTCTACTCTTATTGCAGGTTTTTCCTTGCTGCCGTTTGTATCCCTGAATTGGAAGAAAGGGACCATTCTTTTTCCTCGAATATCGTTATATATTTGTTATGTTTAATATATTTAATATTGTTATATTTAAATTTGCAAATGGTTGATTATATTCTTGTTACTATTAACATATAAAAGAATTTAATTAATTATATATTATGAACGAAAAAGTATATTTTCATTAATGAACTAAAAAACTTAATTAATTTTCATTAAAATTATTTATATCATGGAAAAAAGAATAACCAAGCTGATATGCCATATATTCGATCATCGATTCGAATATAAATTGCAAATCGTTTTGCTCGTTCGTGTTTTTAAGATTATTTATCCTCGACATCTCCTCGAGATCGAGAGGAGAGAAAATTGAGCAACGGTTTTGAAGGGTTTCATAAGCGACAAAACTTTATAAAATCTTGACGACCATCATTTCGGCAAAGTGCAAGGGAAAGTATCCGTATAACGTCTGTCAACCAGATGTCTCATGCCATAAATATTTTTCACAGATACGCTCGGTTTATTCCGCCTAAGCGATCACCGAAATTTCCAGCAATCTTTCTACCCACGTGTTCTCACTCCGGCCGTTCACCCCTCCAAATAGATCTTTTGTCTTAGGCTTGACCATCCCTTGTCCAATCCAACTTCTCTTAAACAGACCTTTTCCTTCTTCCCTACCTTTCTCTCCCTTTCTCTTCCAAGCATTCTCTCCCAAGTTTGTATCAACCTCACTAAAATCGTTAGGTAGAAACGATATATCGTAGTCGTAAGTTTAAAGTCGTTAAATTTAAGGGACGATGATCCAAACGATCCTGTTACACGTTTATAGAAGTATCTCTCATCTCAGACAACTTGCAAAAAGTCATTTGCAAAAATCTCACTCACTCAAAAATGATCTCAGAAACATTTCAAGTTACGTTCTAAAACTTTCGTAAACTTTAACTTCTTCCAAATTTTATAACTGTGCTGCATCTTTTCCATCCCGATGAAAGAATAAATCTTACGGTCAAGTGAAAAATTTAAATCTTGTACAATACAATTTCTGCACGAGAAAAAAGACAAAAATTTCGTAAATCGAGGGAGTTTGGGCGGGTTGCATGCCTTTATGGGCAATTGTGCGCGAGCTAAAACTTTGGCCATTTTCTCCGGACACGTTGACGTAAATACATTGACTCGTGTTGTAATCTAATTTGTCATCTGGAGCTTGCCATCTTCGATAAATTTCACACGCGCCTCCTATAACTAGATTGCTATGCGGAGAAAAAGATACGATTCGAAGAATCCGAGTGTTTCGGCAAAAAAGAAGAATTAAAGTCGAATCTCTTCGTTCCGATAAAATATCGAAGAAAATATTTTTCGTTGTACAAATTGTTACGAAACTCGTAACAAATCGAATAGTTCTGAGAAAGATTGTACTGATTTTAATGAAATATTTTATTTATATATGTTTCAAAAATATTGATGCGGAAAATTTTTGGAAAATTCAATACGAATCAGAGAAATTCGAAAAATTAATCTTAAAATGAATAATTAATTTTAAATAAAGTTTCAAGATATTACTTGTTCATTAAAATAAATTTATTAAGCATAAACTTAAAAAGAAAGATTTCTCTGGTGATTTTTCATGTTTTTTAAACTTAAAAAAACCTATTCTATTTCTCACATCGAAGATTTTACGAAGATAAAGACTCCGTGCATTAGTTTCATAATTTATCTTGCATATTCAGATTGATTGATCAACGAATGTTAATAGAGAAGGGGAAAAAATCAAACGACTTGATATTAAAATTGCGTTTAATATGGAATTTTTAATCATTTGAGAATGAAAACTGTAGGATGTGATTTTATGTATTATTCACGTTGAACACATTGATTTTATTATACATA